GGTATATTCAGCAATTAGCGAAACCTGCTCGGAACAACTTCGACCTCAACTTCCCTCATAGAGCAAACATGCTTCGTAAACACTGTGGAATGGATCTGATTAAGGTCGCAGATTAATCGCTATGAAAATAATGACGGATACATATTTAGTTGTAAAACTACATGGTACTCAACAACATTTTATTTTGGAAGTGTTGATAATATAAGAGATTATGCTTTCACGGCATCCTTCCCTTCTGGTTCTACTGTACATCCTTCGCTAAAAGACCAGAAAAATGAAGTTATTGTCAAGTCTACTAGGCACTTTTCCATTGATGAATAAGTAAGCACAAAGTAATTGAGAGCTTACACATTTTCCATAAACAGATTTTTGCTGACGAACACTGGAATCCAATCCATTTTCTCGTCGACCTGTAAAAATTTCATTACTTGCAAAAAGACGAAGAAAAGAAACAAGAAGACACTCTATCTCTTCCTTAGATTACCACACGCTGAGCTTTTAACTATATGCACCTTCCAGTGGTTTACTTCAACAATACGGCCAAGTATGTCCAATAAATAATCAAAGTCGACCATGTCCTCGAATACGAGAGTATTGATGTAGTCAAAAATCAAGCTCATTTCTCTTGGAATGGACAGGTACACATCATTGACTAGAGCAGAAAAATAGAAGGTTTACAGATGATATGTTAAATTTATTCCATACTTTCGGGTTTCAGCTCTCCTTCCGTAAACAGATCGTCCCGGCTATGCATGAGGTCGTCCTGAATTGGCAGTATTTAGGAAAAGCTGAGCACCTGGACTGAGCCTTAGCTATGCCATTGCCTCAATCAGAACTGATAAAATTCATTCGCAAACGATGAGTTAAACTCTAAACTCTCGCCCAATACCGTATAGTAGAAGGTCCGTTCGCAAAACTACGATATTGGGCGAATGCTCCATTTCTTCAGTCATATGAGCTGCCTTCGGCATCGCCTTGTGTAAGATCTTTCAAACACCCTCCGCATAAGCTAGCATCTCAGATTTGCTCGACACTGTTTTTGAGGCTCCAGACACGAACGCATGTGAGCACTCGCCTTCAATCGAAGCGTTTCATCATTGTCTTTAACATCACGCCAAGGAATGCACTTCTCATCGAATGTGTCCAGCATCATATAGCACCTCAAATCGCAAATTTTGATTGGTCAAAGATGGACTCACAGGTCACACCAAGACTCCACATCGTCCTTTCTTCCTTGCTCCTTCATCTGATGGCAAGCTCTGGAAGCGTAGCGCCGAGTTCCCATAAATGCGACTTTTTCACGAGGTTCTCTGAAAAGTGACTCG